CAACCCCCCCTTGGGAGCACTGCAATTCGCTATAGGTCTGTTCTTTCTCTCAATCACAAGTCACAGTCGTTAGTTACCTGTGAAAAATAAAAGGTTAGTTTACAATTGTAAGCTCTTATCCTATTCAGAGTCCACTATGAGATTTTTCTCTTCAATTTCAACTTCCAACAAGTCTTTTGTAGGAACAGCTTCCCAGGTACTAGCGTCGACGGATGCCTTCACTCGACTATAGTGAGTCCAACCTTTTATAGTGAGTCCAACCTTTTTCCACAGTTCTTACAGCTGTTTCAGTGGTTAGTAATTGTCCTTCCCAGTCAGGCCGGAGTTGACTCTTTTCAGGTCCGAATCAGGACCCGGTTTCCTGGGTGATGGTGGTGAATGGGGAATTCCAAAGGTGGGGTTTGAGCCAACAACCCACAGGTCCTGAGAAATGACAAAGAAGAGGACAACCCCAGAATACAGTTCTTAAGAAAACTCTCTTGTTTTGAATTGTGGTATCTCATCCCTTCTGCCCAGATAGGGCAATCTGAACAGTATCTCATATGGTGAAATTCCTATATCCTTTCTTGGTGCTGTTTGAACCTGTAGGAGTAAGTATTTTACCCAAGGAAGTTGGGTTTCTAACACTAGTTTAGTTAATTGCTTCTTTAATGTCTGATTCATTCGCTCCACCTTCCCAGAAGAGGAGGGGTGCCAGGGGCTGTGAAAATCCCACTCAATCGCTAAGGCCTGCTTTAACCCTTGCAGTAAAGCTTTACACCCATCCAGTCACGTGGTCAATTAGGACAAACAAGTAACTCAGTAAAGTTTACCTGTATACTTTGGAAAGGTCAAATCCCTGGCTCCCGTCCTCTTCTAGATGGGTTACAGAAGACCTTTTTATTTACCTTTTGACATATAGTACATCCCCTGCATATGTGCTTCGCTAAAGTGTATATTCCTACACAGACATACTTGCGTAGCACAACATCACTTATTGCTTGCACCTCCCAATGACTTTTTTGATGTAAAACAGTTAATATTCGCCTCATTATCACTTTATTCAGCATTTCTCTCCCATCAGGGAGTATCCATTTTCCTTCAGACTTCATGGCTCCTGATTCCTTAAAAAAAATCTTTCTTTTAAAACTTTTTAGTTCTTTCTTAATTTTCAACAATTCCCTGAATCCTCTCTGCATTTATTCTGTTTTCCTTCAGACATTAGATGCCTTAAATACCTGACTTCTCTTTCTCCATATTGTAATTTATTTTTCAATACTCCCAAGCCCTGCTTTCCCAGAAAGTTGAATAGCTTGTTAGTAGCTTTCTTCACAACTCTTTTCTCCTGTCCTGACAATAGAAAACAATCCACATATTTGTTAACATTAATACCTCCTTGGGAGGTTGTAATTGCTCCAAAATCTTTTTAGAACTTACCCAAATAGATAGGTGGCCCTGTAAACCCCTGAGGTAAAATTGTCCACCTATATTGTTGCTTCCGCCCCCATTTCAGGGTCTTTCCAGTCAGAGGTGAATATACATGTTTGTTTGCTCTCAGGGCCTGAGAGCACTCTATTAATAACACTGTTATTCCAGTCTAACAATTTACTATTTGAATGCCCAGTTTAATCATCAAATCCCTTCTCAACAAGTTAGTCCCTGCCTTGGATACATACAATAATTACCCAGTGATCATTTTATCTCCTGGTCTCAGCTTGGTATCCCCCAAAAGTGGCACTGTTATCCCAGCCCCTTCTGCCCCCATCACTTTTTAGGGTTTCATTAGTTAATTTAATCCCTGATACTTTACAAGTCAGTAATGACCTAGCTGTTCCCCAGTGTATTGGGTTTGATGGCAAGGTTCGGGGGGTGTGAGAGGTGTGGGGGTGGGAAACTGCAGTGGCAGCCCCCGTGAGAAAAACCCAGAAACCTCCCCGTGGTAGATAAGGGACAATTTCATCTGGCCCCAAAGGGGCCCACTGCTGCCCAGAGCCAAGCCATGAGCAATACAGTCTGTGCCTCTGTGAGAGCACATCCACAAAAACAAACAAAGAAACAAACAAAAACCTGCTGCTCAACAGCAGTTGGGAGAGCGAGAAACCCGCCCGCAGGCACCAAAGTCAGTGCAGAAGGAGGGGGAGGAGGCGCTCCAGGCGCTGGAGCCGAAGCCCCCCTGCGGCTGCTGGAGAGGCCCCTGGTGAAGCAGGCTGTTCCCCCCTCCCCGATGCTTGGGAAACTGAACAAACACCACAGCAAATATACCAAAACTTCTAGACTGTTACTTAGATAATGCCTACATCACCTTTCCCTGCTCATTCAACTTCAAACAGCTCTGTTAAATACTACATGCCACACCTTTAACACCTTCAGCAACCCTTTTAACACTTCCTTTATCTTTCTCCAGCCTGTACTTTTCTAATACCAGCACCAAAGGCTCAGTCAGGGTCCAACTTATTTCCATACCTTGTCCCTCCAAGATACTGAAACAACATATCAATATAGCATATTTCATCCCATTTTCCTTCTTTCCTCCTTCTTCCACTCCAGATATTCCTATTCGAAGAGGCCAGCCTGGCCACACTTAAAACATCTTATCAAAGTCTGTCTCTGCTAGGACTCAGGCCACAACACAGGCAGCCTTCTTTGCCTGCCATTCCTTCATCTCTCTTCCTCTCCTTTCCATCCTGGCCCTGACTCCCCCTGAAGATTTTCTTCCTCTTTCTCCAACGCTCTGCCTCACTACCCGCTGCACTGTCAATACCATTAGTTTCGCTCTCTTTTTTTTTCTTTTTTTTTTTTTTTTCCTTCTTATCTCCCCTCCGGACACACACCTCCAGGGCCTCCCGCAGGAGGGTCCCCGAGTCAGTTCACTACATCCCCCCACCTTCTGAAGCATTTTCTGCATATTTTGCCAGGCTTTAATCACACAATGAACTTTCAAGAGCCCTTGGGATATTGGGTCCTCAGGTCTCATCCCCAAGTACTTTCTCATTCTGACCCCAAGTCTCTCATATGATTTCTGTGTTGCACACTATTATTATTCCAGCCAGGATTGGCAAGTGGGTATTTCTGCCCTGCCGGTATTACCCCTAGTCCTGGAGGATGAGCTCTTTCCCATTCTTGTATAGCAGCTCTCCTCCTGATCATTCCCATTTCTTTCCCTGTAAACAACATACTTATAGACATAATTCCCTCCCCCAAGAGTATAAATCAGGTCGTAGGAACTGGTCTAATTGTTCAACTAGGCTGTTGGGGTCCTCAAATAAAGACTTCCTCTCCTCTTAAAAGTCCTAACCTCTCTGCTGGTAAGGAGGAGGGGGTAGTTCACCTTAGAGGATACACAGTTAGTGTTAGTACTGTTAGTATCAGGGAAGGCAAAATTCTCAATATCTCTTCTACCTTGTTCTTATTCTTGCCGGAGCCTAGAGTACGATCCTTCTTTAGGGACAGTGTTGATTACAGTCCCTGTCTCCCTTCCTGGAGTGACTGCTGCTGCCACCAGTTCAATATTAAGATTATAGGGAGCATAACTTGGCTCCTTCTCTGAAAAAGGAATCTTCTTGTTTACACATAAATTTAAAGCCTGAATTTTCATCAGACCCGTATTTTGGCCAAAATACTGCTGTTTCCTTAATTGGTTCTTTTGTCCAGACTGATACACAACATTTAACCTTTTAAAATTATTTTTCTTTTACAATCCCTCTAATTTTGGGATTATGTTTCCAATTTCTTATCATTCTTCAGGAAGAACTATTAGTAGGCACTCCCCCAGGGATATCTCCCTGTCCCCTGGAACTCATATCTTCCCATTTTTCCTAACCCTCGCCAGTATGTGCTACAGAAATTTCCCTTCTGCAGTGTACCACACACCAACGTACTGAAAGATGGGGGTGTACCGCCAAGCACTTCCCCGTGCCAGCGTTACCGCACACCTATGAGTTTACCAGATTCCCTGGAACTCGTACTTCCCATCTTTCCTAACCCTCGCCAGTATGTGCTACAGAAATTTCCCTTCTGCAGTGTACCACACACCAACGTACTGAAAGATGGGGGTGTACCGCCAAGCACTTCCCTGTGCCAGCGTTACCACACACCTGAGTTTACCAGATTCCCTGGTGTACTTCCAAGCACTTCCCCGTGCAAGGATTACCGTACACCAGATTCCCCTGGTGTAGTGCCAGCACTTCCCCGTGCAAGGGCTTATACCATACACCAGATACCCGACCCCCAAGGCAATACTTAATATTTCTTACCTTGGTCTGTGCACAGAGTTACCGGATCGATTCTTAAAAACCCGGAGTGCCTACCTTCTTCCTTTCCCCACTACTTCACGGATCCTGCCTCTTTAACCAGTCTCGGGCCCTCTGTCAGCTTTCTGCAGAACCGCCACCATCGATGCACAGGACCACTGAAATCAGCGGGGCATGCCTTCCTGCTACTGCGGCGGTGGGGCTCCCCAGTAGGTGACTGGATCCCGGACGAGCCCCCAAATTGTGAGAAACACTCCGTAGCCAATAACTTAGGCTCAGGCGAGGATCTCAGTGAAGTAGTAATTTATTCGCGATTGCAATGGCGGGCGCCCCACAAGCAGGAGAGAGCGCATCTACTAGTTCCAAAACACAGTTTATATACCTTTTGATGGCAGGATCCTCCCCTGTTTCCCCACTGAGTGGGTAATCCAGGTTCACAATCTATCTGATGCTTCACAAACAATGCATGGCCTTCAGTTGCCGGCCTGCTAAATTTCAAATTTCTTTTGACATTTTTACTGCTTGAAGTGGTAATGTTTCTTCACTTATCTGACTTGACTTGACACCGTGATTTTCACCTAATTGTCCTAAGGAGTCTGGTTGTCTGCATTTTACTAGGCTGCCTGCTAAACTTTCTTATCACTGTAAGCATATGTCAGTACCACATTCCCTCCTTCTAAACAATGTAACTCTGCAAAAACAACATTTCTATTCCCACAGGTGTAACACTAAAATACTTGCTTCTAGCTATTACTTTTTTCTCTGATTTAGGAAATGGCAAACATTTTGGCACAAAAGCAGCTTCGCTCCATCATCCTAACTGTAAGTATTTACTTTTCAATGTTACTTTTCACTGCCAGAGAGAAAAGCAGGCTTGACTTTTGGTGTGTAGAGGTTTTGTCTTCATATATTGTAATTGCACTCTTGTATCTCACAAGATACATTTTGAAGCCTGTGATACACAAGCTAAAGATCTGGTTATTGGGTGGGTTCAAAACTGATGATCAGAACGGGTATCTTTCCAGCCCAATAAATTGTGGTTTCTTTGTGAAAATGCAATACTGAATAAAAAGTAATACCTCAAGGGTTTTATTCCCATGGAGAATGTGAACTTAATTGTGCAGACTAGGGAATGTCTGAGGCATTAATAGTAAGTCCTCTGTGTTAAGGTTTGGGCCTGATGACAGCTATGCAAGCCACACGGGGCTTTCCATTTTGCAAAATGAGTTTCTGTGTTTTTGGTTCTATTGGTGATTTTGTGTCTTGATATCAAGTTGCATACAATTTGTCACCACTTACACAAAAGCATGGTATGTAGTCCAGAGTAAAGTTAATGAATGCAGCGTAAAAGACTTCTGCTGTCTTGGAAAATCACAGGGATTTTGTCTTTGACCTTAGCGCAGAACAGATCTTCAAGGGAACAAGGAGAAATTCTTCTTAAAAGGGAGGAGTTCAGTATCTGTCATGAGATATCAGTGTAAACAAAACCAAACAAGAAACAAACAAACCTTTGCCCTTTCTCACTCAGTGTCATTATTTTAGTGATGCATTAAAAACAAACAAAATTACAAAAACAACAACAACAAAACAACAATAAAACAAAACAGGGAATTTGTTTCAGAAGGCATGTTTTTGCATTGCTTGTGTTTATAAAAATTTGGTATAAGCACTGTAGAATGTTATCCTTATCTTCATATACTGTCATAAAATGCTCAAGTACTTTTTGGCAGACAGATTCTTTTATTTCCTGGAGCTGTACAATATCAATTTTTGTATCCATCTCCTACATGATGATTCTTCCCTTATGTATGCCCTGAGATGTTTAGTTATACCTTTGTCTGTTTCCCCTGTAGAGCCTGTGTGTGTGTGTGTGTGTGTGTTTTGTGTGAAATTGTCCATCAGCTTGGTAACTGCTGTGTGTAGCTCTCTATTGTACTCTATTGTATAAGGTATTGTACACTAATGCATTTCTGAGCCATCTTCCTCATATCAAACAAAGTTGGATTGCGGTGTGATGTTGGCTGCTGTAGCAGTAGCGCTGTTGTATCATTGTATCTACTGATTGTGTTGGCAGCTTGAATACTTTACACTCAGGGAACTACTTAAATATTTTTTGAATACATTTTTTTTTTTAAACAGAACTCTAATGCTCTTGCTAAGGAGTTAATTTTTCTTCAGTGGCTCACTCTGTACTATTTTGTTTGTTTGTTTTTATTTCACTACTTCTCAAACATGCACAGGCTCTATCTAGTGGCTAAAAGGAGAAAGCTTCAGTGCATTATTACTGTAAAGTCCTGCCCCTTAGAATTTCTTATGAAGCCTGTAGTTCAGATGAATACCTAGATCAGTAGTGCTGGTTTTGGTTTAATTTTTTTCTGGAGTATACATACACCATTGCGTATCAACACATTCTTTCAGAAATGGAAACACCAGAATTCACCTGGTGGGATTTTCTGATACAGTGGTGTTCACTGGAGTCTGCCTTTCTTTTGCAGCATGTTATCAGGGCACAGAGGGCCATCAATAATGAAATGGCACATCAGCTTTATGTTCTCCAAGTACTTACCTTTAACCTTCTGGAAGACAGAATGATGACAAAAATGGATCCACAGGATCAGGTAAGCATCTGACATGACCTGGTCAGAACAGGGAGAGGACAGCTACTCGTTGCTGTGCGTAAAACTCTTGATGGAGGAAAAGACACTGGCAGGAATTCTTACCCAATCTCTCTTACTTCGGTTGTGATGCTGGATTTTATTTTCTGGCTGTTGGAAGATGAACTGGCTATTGCGTTCCATGTGCAAAAGTACAGCAAGATGGCCAGGCCTTTCTCCTTAGCATGTAGCTTCATGAACTGAGTTTGGTGTCATCCTGAACTGGTACCTTGTGCGTATCTCCAAAGACTGTCTGATATGGTGTTGTTATTATAGATGGTGGGGTGGTTATCACTGTCTGGAGGCATTTCCAGTGATGTGTAACTGCAGTAAGTCCTCTCTTGCCCATTCCCTTGTCAGCAGAAATAGTCACCAGAAGAATTGGAGTACTGAGCCATTTTGATTTAAGTCAGCAAAGTGCCTAAATACCAGCTTAATTTGAAGTGTGTGTGATCTCTTGGCTTCTGTGGTTTTGTGTCTGTGGGTTAAATTAAGTGTGTAGTTAGTGGCCTTGCTAACATGGGTCCTGCTTCTGGAAGTCAACCCTTACACATTTCTGCATGAACCCCACAAATATGAGACCTTTGGAAAATGGGAACCACAAAGTCATTCTTGCTGATGACCTTCGAGTAAGAAGGTAGGGAATTTAGATAAAGGTTGGGCAATGGAGGGAATGCAGCATTTTCAAACAGCCTTGTGGGTATTGGTGGTTAAAATGAGAGGTCAGCTATTTTAACCATTTTTTTTAATGTTTGTTTGAACCCAGGCTCAACGGGATATCATATTTGAACTGAGAAGAATTGCATTTGATGCAGAATCTGAACCTAACAACAGTAGTGGCAGTATTGAGAAACGCAAATCCATGTATACACGAGACTATAAAAAACTTGGATTTATTGTGAGTATTTTTGGATGGTGGGACACTGGAAGTGGTTGAATGCATCTGTTGTAGTACATTCTCTAATCAGTCACTTTTCTTATTTGACCTTTGGCTATTAGGAGTATAGAATAATTTCTTCATCTTTTTGCAGATCTTTTTTACCCCAAGGGGTTGCTTTATCAGAAGTTAGGATTAATTGGAAGAATAACTATCTAATGTGGAAGAACATAGTTTTGCATGACATGTCATAATTAATTTAACTTAATCAAATCTTGGATGAACAAGCATTGTCTAACAGATCTGTGGCAGACCTGTAAAGCCATCGTACTCTGAGTAATAATGTGGACTGATGAGCACAATAAATCAGAGGTAGGATGCTATCTATAGCATTTACTTGTAGGATCTTCTGTCTTGGTTGTTTGAAGTCTTTTAATCTGTGAGTAGAGGATTCAGAAACTCCCTCTTAGACCTACTCAAACCACTTAGAGTTCTGGTTTTGGCTGAAACAACACAATCTGGCTGAACTGTTGCATGCATTTATACTAATGAATAATGTGTATTTTTTTTTTCCCCTCTGGAAGCAAAGGGGGAAAAAACACATGCATGCACACTCTGCAATCAGTATCTTGATTTATTGTTTACTCTAGATTAGTATGCAATTTTCTTTCTTCTTAGGTAAAATTGTATACTTTGAATGGTACATGATTGCTGCTGGCCTGGCAGATAGACAGTGCATGTGGTAGACAGAGGCAGGGTGGTTTCAAACACGGGTACAAGCTGAAGCTTGCTGTGCAGTTTGAGTGCTCAGCTCAGCTCTGTGGCATAGAGCTCAGGATTACCCAGTTCCCCTGTGGTTTAGGGAGGAGGCGTTCTGGGTTCTGATAGTTGTTTTCATTACTGACGAGTGAGGAAAAATTACTGCTGTATCAGTGCTGTTGCATCTGTAAGGAGCCTTAAGTAAGGGGAAAGAAAGGAACTTGGCATTATAAGCATGATAGTAAAATCAATGCTTTGAAGAAGCTTTTGAGTCTCAATAGACAACAACAACAAAAACTATGAATCTGTTTTCTGTTTCTGTGTAATAGAAGACCATTGCTATCTCAGCTTTTAAGATTGGCAACTCCTATGTGAGATGAGCAGAGGACTTTGGGCCCTCAAGGCTAGAACTAAAGGAAAATGCATGCCATGGTTTAGAGATAAATGGCTGAATGTAGACCCTCTAACTTGTGGTGAATGAGAACAGAGATCGGTTCTCGCAGACCTTCCATTGTACATGGTGGAAAAGCAACCGCTGGCAAGTAAGAAATGGTGATAAACATAGTTCAGGGCAGGGGGCAAGAGGGAATGCTGAGGTATAGTGAAGTCATTGTGCATCTGTACATACAGAGATTATGGCACATGGAAGAATAAAAGAGGTCAAATTTAAAATAAGTGTTCTCTAATTGTGGTTGATCACTTTTGGATATTAGCTGTGCATTCCAGTTTTATGAGATGTTGAAGACACTCAGATCCCACTGCTGTCGCTGGCACTCCTGAAAGTCTTACCTTGCTTTCTTAGAGGTGGAGCTGGAAAACTCTGTCTATGTAATAAAGCATCCAACATAAGCTGAACCATGTCTAGCACACAGATCTGAATTCTAGTCCTGTTTTTCTGCTGCTTAACAAGGAAAGACTAAAGATCAATAGGGTTGTGGGCTGACACTTGTTCTTCCAATGCTTCTGTTTGTCCCACAGGATATATTTTGATTCTGCAGAACTGAAGTCATTATTAACAACAGCATGTTTGAACTGATAACATTGTACGGGAGATGCTTGGTGTGAATCAAAATGTGTTGCTGTCTGAGTTTGCAGGAACTCATGCTGTGCGTGTGCAGCAGGGATGTCTCTGTTATCTTCACTACTTTCATTTGGGCTGTTCATTGGGAAGCCTACAGAAATCAACAGTTGTCAGGGGTAACAACAGCAGTTTTTGCTATGTAATTCTGATGCCTTTCCGACAGGGAATGGTGATTAAAGTCTAGGAGGGAATGGGAACTGGGATCAAAACAATGAAGAAAATGTGGAAGGATAAATAAAAGGAAAGCATAATGGGAGGTCAGAAATACAGGCAAGTGAGGTTTTCAGAGTGCCATGATAAGGGTCCTAATGGGAGGCAGGTTATTTCCCTAATAGAATAATGAGGCAATGCACAAATAATAAATATGTTAATTGTAAAGTGTGAGGAGAGTTACTCTGCTCTTGAGCAGAACTTTTTCTTGGAGCTGAGAATACAGGTGACTCTACATGTATGACTTTTCCCATAGCTGAAAAGGAATTGGACTTTCCTCACAGAGCTGGAGAAGTGCCTGTTTTAGAGCTCAGGCTGGCTCTCAAACAGTGAATCTGACTGAGCCTCACACAGGGGCTGTGCTCTGACTGACCTCCAGTTAGCCTATGGCTGTTGTTACCCCATCTACTTCTTCTAACTCTAACATTAAAATGTCTTCAATGCTTTTGAAGAGTGCAGGTAGAAGGATACATAAGCAAACTGAACTGTGCCCTGAATAAAAGGAGGTTTCTCTTCCTCCTCTTTTGGCTGTCTAACATGAGAAGAAACCCAGCCAAATTGGTGGCTGCCTTCCAATGCTGCCTTCATTCCACTGGTGGTAGAGGTCAGGATGCTAATTTCTTGATCTGACTGAATGTTCTTTCCAAGGAGGAGAGCAAAACCATGTCTAGCCATCCAGTTGTTCCTGGACTGCTTGTCTTTCTGTTTGGGAAACGCAGGAATTCTATTCATTTTTCTTGGCCACATGAAAAAGCTTTGCCACATTGCAAACATAATGTCAACAAAAGAGAAAGTCCAGACATGGTTTCAGAAGTTTACAATACCATTTGTAAAACTACATAGTTAGAAACCTATATTCAGTTAAAGCAACCACAGGGCCTTTCCAGATGGTCGAGATGTCCAGTGTGAAGTTTATTATGGGTAAAGAGATTTTCAGATGAGATAGTTTTCAAGAGATTTACTAAAATACTGACAAATACAACAAAAGATGACCCAATTAAGAGATGTAAGATACATTTCACCTTATTGAATTATTTTTTTTTCACCTTATTAATTTATTTTTCTAGGCAATTGCAAATTAAATAGCTTGAGTTTCTTCTTTTCTTCCTGCCTTAAAATCTCTTTCAGCAGTTTATCTATGGCAATTCTTGTAGTAGAAGTAGAGTTTTGTAGACTTGCAAATAATAATGTAGCTTTGTAGTGGAGATAGCTAATAGATAAAGGTACAAGTGTTGGTAATGATAAAATTGCTCTTGATATTGCCAAGCTCTTCAGTTTTGTAGAGTTCACTGCATATGAATCTTCAAAAATCTTGTTGCATTTGAGTAAACTTTATTCCTATAACCAAAGTAGGCAACAGCTATACATAATGTCAGTTTCTTGAGTTATATTTTCTCATAGTTCTGTAAATATCATTAACTGTCTGTGATAAGTTGTAGTGAATGTGTTTAAAGTTAGAGGTAGATCTAACCAAATTCTAAGAAATTTAAATAAGTTAAAAATTAAAGAAAAACTGCTTGAGGTTTTTTCATTTGTGGTGTGTAGAGCTTTTTTTTTTTCCTTTTGACTTCAATAAAATGTAAATTGTTTGTATGCATGCAAAAATTCAAGATGGAAAATGATTTCTTTGCTCTGATACGATAATGATTTCTTAGTCTTGCTGGAATTTATTAATATAGACAAAACGGACATTAGTACAAGAGATGGGAAGCCAGTAAGGACTTGTCTGACAAAATATGACAATTAAAAGTGAAATTTTAGAATGATCTGTAGTTCTTGTAAAGGTAAACATGGGCTTAAGTTAGAAAACAATTGTGGTGGTGACGTAAGAGTGAACATACACTGAAATCTCCTGATGAAACAGATCTGGGAGATATCAAGGAAACAATCACCATGTCATACACCAAATTAGATGACCTCTGGGAGCAGAGACATAGAAATGTAATTTTATTCAGTAGAACTAAGTACAAAGGTGTTAATTTAGGACTACTGGCAAGAATTTCTTCTGCAGGCAATTCAAAGTCTCATCTGTTGGAAAAGGCAAAAATAGGGGAGATTGTGCACTGTAGTTGCAAAAAAAGTCAAATGTTAGCCTAGAATATATCTGGAAAGTTAGTTTCCTAGCAGCTGAACTGCTAAGAACATTTTCTGTGTTTTGGTGACATCATTTAGAGCACTGCATGATTTTAATTGCTTATGCAGTGATTTGGGACTGATTGAATTTAGGAAAAGTGCGTAGAGCAAGACTTGTGCAGCGATAAGAGAGATGTCTTACAAGAGGTGACTTAAAAAGGTTGCCTTGCATAGTCCACCAGGCTCAACACCATGGAAATGTCATGTTCACACATGCTGAGAGGGAGGCAGTCATATGTAAGCTAAAAGGCACTGATGGCAATGCATTTAAGGAAAATATGATTATTTTTTAATTGGATTGATGGGGACAAATTTCATTAAAAGTTTAAAGATGGAGGGTTGATCCTTTATGAAAAGGATCAACCTGGAAAGGATCACTGTCAAACACAATACTGTGTTTGACAGTGGTGGATCCAGGAAAAAAAAAACAACATATACAAAGACTGGGAATAAGGTGAGGGGGTTTATAACAGAGGTCTGAAGGAAAACATGAATAATAGGATGAATAATGACTTTATGTGCAACATATCTGATTTGTTAGACATTACAAAAACTTCCTAATATAAGCTATCTATAATAGATACTTTAGAAGTGTTGTCATGTAGAGATCTTTAGAAAAGAAACTCAACGAATAGTTAAGAGTAATTAAAGCATACTCGATTCTTCCTTAGGCAGAATGTAGGCCTGATGAGCTGATGAGACTTTTTTCAGACTTGGCTCCCCCCCACCTCGCTCCCCAGTCTTCATGCCCCAGATGAGTAACTACTTCGTTTTTTTTCTTTTGATCTTTTTTTTTAAAAAAAAAAAAATCCTTTGTTTCACAGCACAACTTCCAAAT